ACTTTTCCTTTGATACCCAAAAAGAGTTGAAAATGTATATCTTGATCTATTGCCACGTGTCGTATCACTTTTGATTCATTTACTTTTGTATTAAAACGTGTTATATAATAAGTTTGTCAAGTGTCTTGAACGCATAAGAATGAGTTGCAGAGGCCATATAGATGGCAATGGTACTTTATTTAAGAACAGTGGTTTGGTGAATTTTCTAAACGACTACCCTCCATTGCCTTGCCTATCGATTGAAATCTTGCTTAAGCCTTCAAACTTAACCCCTTTTACGGCAGTCAATGAAATCTTATTATAATCAATTGCTTTTTACCTAAAACAATAGCAAAAAAAACCACAATTTAATGTTTATATAATAAGGCTTCAATTAAGTTAATAACCTAACGATTTCGTGTTATTTTTACTCACAGTCTTTTATCCACGGCAATACTAGCGTATACGCTACGTTACAGTGATAAAATGATAACGGGTGTGTACACGTGAACACGATGCTTATCGTATAAGATAATTGGAATGAACAAAAATTATTATAATAAGAAATATTTTAAATTATGTTCATTGAAAATCAATGAATCCAAGCAAGATTTAATCGAAACTGGATACACTTTTATATTTAACACTGAAGGATGGGCGGCATACTCATTTTGCCATATTGCTTACCATGCCCAAATGGAAAGTGTATATATTCTTGATCAGGATAAAAATTTAAATTCATGAAACTATGTCTGTCCGTTTGCGTGCCTGTTTGATGGGCACTGCTAATGCTCGCCTGATTGCAGAAATGAAGATATCGACTTCAAATTTGGTAGAAAAATTGGACATCTTTGCACGCAGATTAACATTGAAAATGGGCCAAATTGGTCCAAGAACAAAACCGAACAAGCTGTACTGCACTGTACCGAACTGTATAGAATGTTTAAAACGTTTTTTGCGTAACACTGCATTAATTCTGAAATAAGATATGATGGACCCCATGATCTGCTTGATTAATTTTTAAACACAAGTATACCGTTGATATGGTTATCAAATAAAGGTGAAAGCTTAATGTCTTAATTCGAAATTAATTGTGGTGGACGTCACGACATTTTGGATAAATTTTTCTTCAAAAAATATGGTCGATATGGGTGTCAAATAAATGGGCTCATAGAGTAGACTGCGAAAATCTTAATTTCTTAATTCGAAATTATTTTTGGTGGACGTTGCGACGTGGTGGATAAATTTTATCTTAAAAAGACCGTCGATATGGGTATCAAATAAAAGTGCTTGGCGAGTAGAAGGCGAAAACCTTAATGTGTTAATTCGAAATTATTTGCGGTGGACGTCACGATCTGGTAGTTAAATTTTTCTTGGCGATACTTTTCAGTGAACTAAATGGTTTTAATGTTGGTGGGTATGTGAGATTCGTATCCAACCGATTACTATTTTCTTACTTATTCATTTTTTGAATACGCTTTGTTGTTTTAATTTTTCCGTACTTTTGTTGAAAAATAGCATTAAGTTTAATGAGAATGCATGACTAGAACAATCAATTTTATTGAATTTTTTATTACAATTTAACCGCACAAAATTATTCTTAAATGCATAAAAATAATGAATGACCTTTACGTTTAGTGTTAATATTGAATATTACATTTTGGTACAAAGATTCCATTTAATATAGAAAGAAATCGAACTCCCTTTGAGTAAGATTGGTGTAAATTTAACTCTTAAGAAGATAAACGTCTCTGACCAACATTCATTCAACATTCATTTTCCTATGTATTTCTATGCAAATTCGAGTTTTTGAAAAACTTTTTTAACCATTGTGTAGAAAGAATTTAAGAGAAATTTTGTTTACGCAGTTAAAATGATCGAAAGGGTATTTAGTCTAAGAGATGTATGTCTCCACCGAACAACTATAAGCTATAGGATCATTTTTCATAATCTTTTTATTGCGGAATGATTGATTGATTGATTTAACGAAATATTAGCTAATATAGTTGATTTTTTTATTGATGACATGATAATAGTTTTCGAGCTTGTCCAAAGCATTATTTAACTGAACAAAATGTAATAATACAAAGGTTAGGTTGATTACTTTAACCAATTTCAGTTTTAAGTAAGCAATAATAAAACGCTTATGAGAGCGTTGTCGAGCTTTATACCGCGAATGCCTAGCGGTATTATTATCCGTTTGCGGTATGTCAAAAGTTTGTTAAGTTTGTGCGAATGTATCCAAAACAAAAATGGACTTGAGATAGACTAACTTTTTATTATGCCAATCGATACACAGAATCATTTTTTCAATCTCAGTTTGTCTGTCTGTCTGTCTCGTATTTTTGTTTTTAATCTACAGATCGCAATTTGTCGATCGATGCACGGAGTTACTTTTTGAAACTGAGTCTATTTGTCTTGTATCCGTTGATTCGTTTACAGGTCGCTTAAGATATTTTTAAGATATTTTAGTGAAATTTGTTACACCGCCATGTTTTAGCCTAAGGATGAATGCTAGTGGAAATGGTTCGAATTGGGTCACTATTTCGATCGCTTCCCATGTAACATCTTATTATGATAAGTCATTATATGGATAACTGCATTAAATGAGATGGTGGAGTATATTTAATGTCTATGTAATGTTTTTATTTTGTTAATTTTGAGTAAAATTAGTATTATTTTTAAATTCGTGACCTCTGTGCTTGTTGATGTGATCCGATCTGCAACTAAAATACGTATCCAAAATAGAAACTATACTCAAATACGTTGAAACATGCATAGAAATGTTCATCAAAGATTATATTTCATATGTATGGATATATGTATGTAT